CTTAGGCAGGCTTTTTGAAAAAATAATGACATCATCCAGGTAGACTAGACAATGTATTCCCTGTAGTCCTTCCAGAACGTTGTCCATTGCTCTTTGGAACGTAGCGGGGGCTGTTTTTAATCCATAGGGGATTCTATTAAATCCAAAATGGCCGAAAGGTGTGCTAAATGCGGTCTTTGGTCTATCTTCTTCTCTGACTTCTATTTGGTGATAGCCTGACGCTAAGTCCAACGTTGTAAAATATATGCTTTTACCTAACATGTCAAATAAATGTTGGGCAAAGGGTATTTATCATCGATCGTTATATCGTCCCGTACGCTCGATAAGGATACACATGTGACTAATACAACCGCGCGCCGCCCGCTCGACAATGGTACACATACGCCTACTAAGAATTTATGAGGGCGAACCCGACAAAAAAAGGTTTTTCATTAAAAATTATAACAAAATTATACTGAAATATATATTACAAACATAGACAAAGATATACTCTTTAAATTGGTACCATAATCTCTCAATGTCACATAAGAAATAAACAATAAAAACTCATTCTGACGTAACGGGTCTTTACACCAGTAGGGCGTGGTTGTGCGTGAGCTATTGCTGAGTGATTTCTCCGTTTTTCTGTGTGTTTTTGAAATAAAAAGGTGAGTTTTATTGTGTATTCCTTATAATATGACAAACACGTAGATATATAATTTGTGGCATAAAAAGTGAAAAGTAAGTGCCAAAAGTACTTCGAAATCGAGAAGGCCCATTTTAGCGGTTGGGTCAAAAATGTGTTATTTTACCAATTTTCATTTATTTTTGGTGTAAAATATAACTAAAAAATAGTTTTATAACATATTTCAAATAACTTGACGATGTATTTATTTCAAATTCACACAAAAATATATTTAAAATATTCTTCGAAATTTCATACAGATAAATATTAATTTAGTTTTTTTTAATATTTTGGTATGAGTACGAATAGAAACACATAAAACATAAAAATATACATATTTCCAAACATTTTCATATAGATTTCTCCAACAAACATGTAGATTTCAAATTAGTACTAATTTTGTGACTATAAGTGAAGTATCTATTACTACTATGCTATAAAGGGTAATTTATAAATTTTATTACAATTTCTAGCAACTAAAAATAATTTTATTAGATAGTTTATACATTCAACAAGAATTCCTGTAATTTTTATCCATAAATATTGTCTCAAAGTGAAAATATAGCAAAATTTGCAAATTAGCAAAAAATTTGCATTTCCCGCCATTTTAGGTCGCGAGCCAACAGGAGTATCGAATTACGTCGCCTTCCGAGCATACAGGATTCGTCGATAATCGATTACCATTCTCCATTTTTCGATACCCGATGCATCTAATTTTTTTTTTGGTACTAGATGAACCGGTGCACTCCAAGGAGAGTGATCCATTTATTTCATTTATTTCTTTCATTTGGACTGGTGGTAGACGGTGAGCTTTAATATTAATTGGATCTTCGTTTTTTGTCCTTATCTCATGTTTCACTTCATTGGTAAATGTTCGCAATAAAAATATCTTTATACTTCCTACATAAACTATGTATCATATTTTTCTCCTCTTCATTCATGTGACCTAACCTCAACTTTTTTAAATTTTCGTAAGTAGCTCGTCTACATCCCGGTGATTTGCAAAATTTAAATTCGTTTCCTTGTTTTTATTTAATAATATAGATTTTTCAAATGGTTCCACTTTAAAAGGTGACGTAACTACCAGTTTTTGTTCCACTTCCGTACAATTTTGTACAACTGTAGTAGCGAAACTGTTTTCGCAATTAACTAAAGCTGTCGGCATTCTAACACCTTCGCAAAATTGTACGTAATTCAAAATTGCTTCTCCATTGCTAAGGTTTACTGGTAATGAAACTCTAAGTTCACATCTTGGGGGCAAAATATACGTTTTTTTTATCGGCGGTGAATAAATTATAGGAATTTTAACATTTTTTGTAATAAGCGTTAAGTTTTGCATGTCAATAGAAGCGTCTAAAACTTTTAATAACTCACTTCCTATTAAGCCATCATATCTTTCGTCTACACTATAAACGTAGAATTTATGTTTTGTTTGAGTTTTAAAAATGCTGGGCAAAGTAATATATACAACTTCCTCATGCCTACTTGACGCATGAGTGCTGATGACTTCAAAAGGCTCAAACCGTTTAAATTTTTTATAATAATAGTTTGCTATCTCTGGGCTAATAAAGGATCTTGTGCTCCCCGTGTCTAACATAAAAACTACATTCAATTCTGGTATACGTATATGAGGCAAATTTAAAATTTTTGTAAAGTTAATCTCTATTTTTTCCGTATTGTTGAGGCTGTTATAAAAAAAAAATTCCTATCTGTTCATATTCTCTTTCGACCGAATGAGAATTAAAATCAAATTGGTTTTGCGAGATATTAGGTTGAATGTTATTTTCGGTATCTGTACAATTTACGCGTCTTGAACTAACTGTCCTCGTTGCGACGTCAGTATTAGAGTTCGACGGCACTTGTGACGCTCGGTACTGCATATTGTTCTAACCGCTCGATACAGTCGACCCAAACGTCGCAGGCACATCCACACTAAATGGGACAAACACTACTAGGATAACGAATGGGGCGCGTCGCACCCGCAGACGGGCACGACGCGTTCCAGCTCACACCGCGTACACACCGTACACCCGCGTTCCTGGGCGGTTCTCACCGCCCAGACCATCGACCGACACGAGCTGAGCAGTCAGAGACGGGGGTCCGCACGCCCCCCCCCTCGGACTGCGGTTAGATAGCTCAAAAAACGCCTAAAAAGGCGATATGATGATTGGTAACAATACCAATTCATAAACCACTTATCATCATCCTCACCTCATTGTCTTTCCCTTTCCCAAAAAGGGAAAGACAAGCCCTGAGTCAGATGAAGCTGTAAGAGTCGTATAGACTAACAGCGCTAACATCCAGAAAATAGTAGTGCATATTGTTCGGTGTGTTTCGCGAAAAATGCTGACGGTGTTGCGCCGATGACGGTCGCACTGGTGACCCAGTTTCAAAGTTCCCATTAAAGATATTTCTATTGTTCATTGTATGATTATTTCCGAAGTGGGGAGAAATATTATTTGAATTAAATGAATTGTTTTGGTTATTCGATGAATGGCCCTTCGTTTGATATTGAAAACTTGGGCCTTTATATTTATTATTATGATTAAAATTGGGATGATTTTGGAAATGGCTTTGTCTAAAAGTTTAATTAGACTGTTTGGAAGTTCTGTTCCTCTAAGACAATTTTTAATGCATCTTCTAAGGTTACGTAACATTACGTAGTCGTACTAATCTCACTAAGTAAGCAAGTAAATTGTATAAAAAAAAACGTTTAATGCTGTGTTGTCGTATATAGCCATAAGTCTCGATTATTAATAGTTTCGTTAATTTTTGAAAACAAAATGCTTTTAAATGTTGTACCCGGTGACAAAATTCTTAATAACTTTCGTTTCTATGTTTTCTTAGACTCTCTAGCTCCATAGCTAAGCATTCTTCAGACCTTGGGTCGCCAAAGTGTTGGTTTAACAACGACTTGAGGTCTGCCCAATAGTCTATCTGTTCCCTTTCTCCCACTAAACTAGCAGCTTCCCCTGACAAGCGAATAGTAATGACGTGAAATAAATATTCATTTTGTAAGTTACCCCCTTGGAATGTTTGTAAAATATATTTGGATTTTTTATGAATAAATCTAGCATCTTCATTAAAAATTGGGATAATTTTCGTCATTTCCACGGGAACTCTTTCAATGTCTTCCATTTTAAAATAAAATAAATATCGAAGTTTACCAAGAATAAAATTGATTTAATTAAGATCTACTAACAAAATTTAGATTGTTTAGTAGAAGAGTATTGTTATGGCGTTTTCTAATCCAAGACAATACCTACGTAAAACTAATACAAGAGGAAACAAAAGGAAGGTTACGGGAAGTGAAAAGTTTTACTCACCGTCTCGCAAATCTGACCATGTCCATCTGGGATATTGCTAGTTCTGGAGTCTCGGCTGCTTTTGCTGAAGTCGCGGAGTCCTTAATTTATTTATTTGTTCGGTGATATTCGTCCAAGCGTTGAAACGCACTTTGTCAGGATATTGGTACTGGATCACGATGATAACCGATGACACAGAGTCTTCCTAGACAACTATGAATATCCTACCGGCTGCGCCAATTAAGACAACGAAAAACGAAAATTGACGACAACGACTTTATTTAAAAATAATTTATTTATACAAAGCAGCAGCGTTACAGCTTATAATTACTTCCAAAACTAATCCGTCTTACAGTTAACTTAGCCTAGTACTTATATTAAAATATATCTTACTAAGCAACCCGTGCTATGACGCACGGCTTAATTCTTATGAGTGCTTGTGAAGCAGATATTAGAGGGGTCATCACACTTAACCCCTGCGCGCCCGTGGCTATATAAAGCGTGCTGAGAGCCGCGCGTACCAACGTTGGACTGCAAATTCGGTGAGGCGTACACACGTTGGCTAACAAACTAGTTCCGTCCCGTCAGGACCAATGTGAAGATGTCCGATACAGAAATCGAAACTGCTCCGAGCGCTTTTGTGATTTTATCTATGTAAATAAATAAAGTAAAAATTAATCAATGTTTATTATTACTTACCTCTGTGTTAATAGTAACTGTGTCTGATTTATCATAAATCGGAGCAAGAAAGATATCCGAGAGCTCATAAGCGAACCAATTTGGTCTAAAAATATAATCTGTTGATGATCCAGATCGAGTAGAGTCACTCATTTTCTTTCTGTAAAGGCGATATGTGCTCATTAATGATTCTCGCTTTTTTTAATCTTCAATTGAGAAATTCATTCCCATATTCTACTGAATGGTGCGCCATGCATCAGCTAATAAATTTTTATGATCCTTTCGAGTTGCGTCCCATATTATTGGATGTGCTTGATAAAGTTCAATAAATTCCATGACTTTTTCATTTGTCCATGCCGGTGGCGATTTTGTGGATGAGGAAGCCATTCTGGCTTGACGTACGCACTCGCTGCGTGTTGCAACAGAACTGTGCAAAGCGCCAACGTGTGGACAGATCGCGAGCGTTGGCGCAGATTCCTTTGATGAAACCGACACGAGCCGGCAACTACCAACGCTCGCCCCAACGTTGGGACCAATGCCATTTTCTAGATCCACACGTTGGACGAGTAGCGTTGAGGCCTATATTGGGGCCAACGTGTGGAGCCGGCTTAAGGATTCAGTTATTCGTAGCGAACGTACGTATCGAATAGTTGCATTCGATTATTGCGATTCACTTGAATAGTGACTGTACATTTCATTTATTTATGGTTTGTAGGTTAGGTTCTTTTTCTTAATTTTCTTTAAAATGTTGTAAATAAATATTGTAAGTATTTGGTATAGGTTAGGCGGTTCTTTCCTTGATTTTTGGGTATTTAATTATCTTAATTTTTATTTAATTATCTTAATAGGGGGTCATTGTAGAAGCGTGCTCGTCGCGACCCCTGCCAGCCCTTTTCAGGGCTGCAATTCTACACAGCTGCGCACCCATGCAAACGAGGGTTAGGGCGTCCCCCCCAAGGCGACGCACACCAGCTCGTCCCCGTTGGTGTGGAATGCAGCGCGCAAAGCGGCGATGGGGACCGCCACCCGTCACGCACAGCCCGACACGGCGGAAGGTGGAGGACGGAGTGCAGAGTTGGCACGTGGAATGTTAGAGGGGGCATGAGAGATAAGACGAATGAGTTGATCGAAATAATGAAAGAAAGAGAATTAGATGTCGTGTGTATGTCGGAGACCAAACGGAAAGGCAGTGGTACTGAAGAGCTCCCTGGCGGGACGTTAGCTATATGGTCCGGAGTCCCGGAAAGCGAGAACGCCTGCCAGGGAGTGGGAGTGCTGTTGTCGTCCCGGTTGGTCGATCTTATGACTGAATACAAGGTTGTGAACTCAAGACTTCTCTGGGTTCGCTTCAAAATGGGACTGACGAAGTTATTCCTTTTGGCTGTTTATGCGCCGGTAGCTTCGTCGTCCAGGGCTGAGCTGGAGGAGTTTTGGGAGAATGTAAGAGAAGTTCTAGATTTGGTTAAGGGAAACGAAAGAACTGTTGTATGTGGTGATTTGAATGGATGGGTAGGTATCGCTCGACCAGGATACGAGTCGGTGCTTGGAAAGTTTGGCGATAAAAGGGTTAATGATGCTGGCAAGCTTATACTGGCTGTATGCAAGGAAAAGGGTCTTCTTGTGACAAACACTATGTTTAATCACAGGAAAATCCATATGTACACTAGAGAAAGAAAGAATGAGAGAAGTATGATTGATTTGTTCCTGGTGGATGACCGACTGCGAAAACAGGTGATGGATACACGAGTGTTCAGGGGTGCTGACCTGGGAACGGATCATTATCTAGTAATTACTAGATTTAGGGGTTTGTTCGCGGGTTGGCGCTACCGGACGGCAGTAACAGAACCACAGTCGGTCTGTCGCATCCGAATCTGGAAGCTTCAGGAAGCGGATACTAGGGACAAATATCACACGAGGGTAGCCGAAAAGCTTGACACCATCGATGGCAGGAAAGAATGTGTGGAGAGAACATGGCAGAACCTTAGGGATGGAATGGTAAGTGCAGCGGAAGAAGTATGTGGTACGACAAAAAGAGGTAGTAGTAAAAGAAGAGATGCATGGTGGAATGATGAAGTGAGAGAAGCTGTAAAAAAGAAGAAAAAAGCATGGTTAGACTACTTGGCCTCTAGTAACGATGAGCATATGAGAGAGAAGATGAAAGAAAGATATAAGCTGCAGAAAGTTCATGCGAAAACATTGATTGAGGAAGTACGTGAAAGGTGTAGAATAGAAGCGGACGAGAGGTTGTCGCACAACTTTAGGGAAAACTCCAAACTCTTCTGGAAAGAGGTTGGAAGGTCCCGGAGTGGTGCGACAGCCTTAAGAATGAACAAAGTGCTTTCGAGAACCAATGACGTCCTCTCAGAAAAATCGGACGTCATGCAGCGATGGAGTGAATTTTATAGAGAAATGTATGCGTGTCATGATCTTAGTGAAGGATCCGGGGTGACGCCGTGACTGGCACGCCAGACACGGACCTCGATGACACTGAGGTCATCAGCATGAAAGAGATTGAACGTGCGATTCGAAGTTTGAAATGTGGTAAGGCTGCGGGACTAGACAGAGTTACTGCTGAAATGGTCAAGTACGGTGGGCCTCGCGTCTGGGACAGCTTCCATCTGCTGTGCAATTTGTGCTGGCGGACGGGAGATGTCCCGGATGATTGGCGATCCGCGGTCATTGTGCCTTTATATAAAGGTAAAGGTTCACATTTTGACTGCGGGTGCTATCGGGCGATCAGCTTGACCAGTTTAGCAAGTAAAGTTTACTCGAAGGTTTTGACACGTAGGATGCAAGAGAAATCGGAAAGATTCTTATGGGAGGCACAATGCGGATTTAGACCTGGAAGAGGATGCACGGATCAAATGTTTTCTCTCCGCATGATCACGGAGAAGCTTCTGAGTGTTAACCAGAAGATTTTCTGTGCTTTTGTGGATCTGGAGAAAGCATTTGATAAGGTTATAAGGAAGAAAATGTGGGAACTGTTGCCGGGATATGGTGTGGATGGTCGATTGTTAAGGGCTGTGCAGTCACTTTACTATGACTGTAAAGCCTGTGTGCGGGTAGGGCATGACCTGTCACCCATGTTTAGCGTCCAAGCGGGCGTAAAACAGGGTTGTGTCATGTCTTCCTGGCTGTTCATACTGTATCTCGACAGCTGTTTACAGAAGCTGAAAAATAGCTGTTTGGGTGTGAAATTGGGTGACATAAAAGTTAATTGTCTGCTGTATGCTGATGATGCAGTGCTTATTGCACCATCAGAAGCAGAACTGCAGGCATTAGTCACGTGTATGAAAGAGGAATGTGAAATTAAAGGTCTCCGTTTGAATGCTAATAAAACTAAGGTTCTGGTATTTGAAAAGGACGAAGAGAGAACGAAATGTGAAATATGGGTAAATCAGGAATGTCTAGAACAGGTAAATGAAATTGTATACTTGGGGAGTGCTTTCAGCCGGGATGGAAGATGTGATTTAGATGTGGATAGGCGTGTCGCTGCCGTAAACAAAGTCAATGGTGCCCTGAATGCATTAGTAAAAAAGGCAAGGCGTGGTGAAGAGTGCACGCCTTGCAATACATAACGCAGTGTTGGTACCGACTTTGTTATATGGCAGCGAAACCTGGGTATGCCAGAAGAAGCATAAAAGCAAGTTGAATGCAGTGGAGATGCGATCTCTTCGTAAAATGTGTGGCGTTACCTTAGCCGACCGAAAGCGAAACGAAGAGATTCGCAATATGGCAGGATTGAAAGATGACCTTATCACAAAAATTGATAGGGGCGTACTCCAATGGTTTGGGCACGTTGAACGAATGAGTGAAGACCGAATGGTGAAGAAAATATATAGAGCGAAAGTAAATATTAAAAGGTGTCGAGGTAGACCGAGACTAACTTTCGAAGACCATGTGAGCAAATTGCTCGAAGAGGGGAGGGTCAAGAGTACTCGGATACCTAGACGTGCATGTATGAAGAAGTTAATGAACCTGAAAGAAGCGAAAGAGGTATGTAAGGATCGTGACACTTGGCGATCTGTTCTCTCTGGCTACCCCGTTAGGGATTGTGCGTGAAGATAAGTAAGTAAGTAAGTTAATTTTTATTTAGGGTTGGTAAATAAATATTGTAAGCATTTGTCATAGGTTAGGCATTTCTTTCCTTGATTTTCGGTATATGTACTTATCTTAATTTGTACTTAGGGTTTATATATAAATATTGTAAGTATTCGGTATAGGTTAGGCATTTCTTTTCTTGATTTTCTATATTAAGCATAAGTTCATTAGCTCAGGTAAGTAATTAATTTTTCTAGCAATTCTTTTGTTTTATAAAGTTAGTACGTTTGGTTTACACGTCTTAAGGGGAAATATAACCTCAAATGGCTATAGCAAGATCCTCCGTTTATGCCGAAAGTATTGCAGCATTAATTTTCGAAATAAATATATGGTAAAGTTGAGGATTAATGTTAAGGTTTATGTTAGAACCGAAAACACGATCATCCGTAAAATTTCACGCTATACGCGCTATAGCGTGAGTCTGAGACTCTTGCTGACAGGGAAACCCGCCTGAGCTCCCAGTGAGTACGGACAACAAATGCTCGATCCCAGGAGACTCAGGACGAACGGGAAATACGTCTCACTGCCGATCGTGAAGCTCATGCACTATCGCGTGAGTCTGAGACTTTCACTGATAGGGAAATTCGTCTGAGTTCTCAGAGGGCTCGGACAGCAAATGCCCGGTCTCAGGAAACACAGTAAGAACGAGAAATACGTCTCACTGCCGATCGTGAAGCTCAAACACAATCGCGTGAGTCTGAGACTTTCACTGATAGGGAAATTCGCCTGAGTTCTCAGAGGGTTCGGACAGCAAATGCCCGGTCTCAGGAAACACAGTAAGAACGAGAAATACGTCTCACTGCCGATCGTGAAGCTCAAGCACTATCGTGTAAGTCTGAGACTTTCATTGATAGGGAAATTCGCCTGAGTTCTCAGAGGGTTCGGACAGCAAATGCTCGGTCTCAAAAAACACAGTAAGAACGAGAAATACGTCTCACTGGCGATCGTGAAGCGCAAGCACTATCGCGTGAGTCTGAGACTTTCACTGATAGGGAAATTCGCCTGAGTTCTCAGAGGATTCGGACAGCAAATGCCCGGTCTCAGGAAACACAGTAAGAACGAGAAATACGTCTCACTGCCGATCGTGAAGCTCATGCACTATCGCGTGAGTCTGAGACTTTCACTGATAGGGAAATTCGCCTGAGTTCTCAGAGGGTTCGGACAGCAAATGCCCGGTCTCAAGAAACACAGTAAGAACGAGAAATACGTCTCACTGCCGATCGTGAAGCTCAAGCACTATCGTGTGAGTCTGAGACTTTCACTGATAGAGAAATTCGCATGAGTTCTCAGAGGGTTCGGACAGCAAATGCCCGGTCTCAGGAAACACAGTAAGAACGAGAAATACGTCTCACTGCCGATCGTGAAGCTCAAGCACTATCGTGTGAGTCTGAGACTTTCACTGACAGGGAAATTCGCCTGAGTTCTCATAGGGTTCGGACAGCAAATGCCCGGTCTCAGGAAACACAGTAAGAACGAGAAATACGTCTCACTGCCGATCGTGAAGCTCAAGCACTATCGCGTGAGTCTGAGACTTTCACTGATAGGGAAA